ATGCCAAGTGTGGCGACATCCGAGGGCGCAGACATATTGAACCACCTGGCCTCAGCCAATCCTGTGTCTCTCTGCGTTCCACTGGCATGTGAGGAAGGCATGCAGCCAACCAGAGAAAGACACGAATGAGGAGCAGCATATAATGAGCGGCATAGCCAGCGTGGTGGACTCGGATGGAAGGCGTCTGGCGTGTGGCTCTGGCTCGTGATTGGCCAATAAAGCCTGTTCTGCTGTACCAGTCTTCTTCCTATTAGGGCTCGGGTATTCTACACAAGAGAAGTTGAGTCGACCTCGAGGTAACCAATAGGGATGAGCTAACAAGAACCAATCATGTACTACGACCAAACAATAAATATTACATTTCATTCAAGTTGAATTTGCTTACCGTTTGGGATTAATTGTCAGTGCATTCGATCACGACCGATCAGGCCGTTCTGACAACGGTGAATGCGTTGTTATCAGAACCACCAAATTTTCAGCAAATTTTTGACTATTATTTACCGACGGCATAATTTTAAGAAAAACGGAACAATCACAAACCCAAATATTTCCTGTCATTTAGGTCAAAAAAAGCTTTATCGTGGTTTTACTTAAATATCAGTTTCAATAGGCATCACGTTATCATGGAATTGTTGCATTTTTTGGCTTCAGATTTGGTCAAGTGAACTTTTTAGTCCAACTCTTCACAACTTATCATGGTGATCTAAAGTGCGATTTCTTACCTTAAAAATTTTGAAATTTTCCAAAAGTTGCATTTTAAGATATTTGAGCAGTGATTTTCTCAATAAAATTGCGAAATATTTAAGGTTTTTAAGATATAAGAGAGTCCATGCACCATTCAGATATTACAAAATGAGAGTTCCAGGTACATTATGTGAAACACTTCCAACTAAGGGCAAGACGATACGGTTGAAACGTTTTATACGAAATTCCTCTACTGTATCCACGACGATTTCGGTGTTGCCTAGCGATACTACCTACTCTAGAGCAAAACACTCCTAGATGAGAGTGTTGTTTGGATATTATTGATGACTTTGGAGTTGAGGGTAGGGTTTTTGTAGCTTTGTTTCTAGGGTTTTAGACGCTGAGTGAGAGCAAAGTGTAAAAGCCTTAATTTAGCCGTGAAAAACAGACTGGTTCGACAATAAGCAGTGTGTGAAACTACCTAAGGGAGGAGTGGGTGGAGCTGTCAGTAATTACATTCATTCGATACAAATAATTACGATCAAAAATTCAAATATTGCTTGTCAGGTTGGTTTAGAAAAGCTTTGGGTTGGTATTACCGAAATTCTTCCCTGTGGTCGTAGTAAATTCACAATCGTGTAGTGGTCTTATTTTAAGGTGCACAATTTATGCTATGAAATTTGAATAATACAGATAATTAGTATTGGTTAGGATGTACGAAAATGGTTTAAATAGTGGTAATGGTTAGTGGTTTGTATGCCATCTGAATTACATAAGCTAGAGGTATGCTAGGAGTTTTCGAGCTATCTAAAAATGTGTAAGTTGATGAGGTGTAAATCCACACTTTTATAAGTAGCGTGCTTAAAATTTGAAACTAAAAATACTGCACAATGCGTTTGATAACCTATAAATTTAATGTTTTAATTTTTTCTTTTTTTGGGATAAGTTTGTTTTAACGCTTTACGAACAGTTCACGATAATTGGTTGCATGTGTCACAGGTGTTCGTCTGAAATTGTCGGAGAGGTTGCTTGTAACAAAGTAGTAAGGCTTTGACTTTATAGGTTGCAGCGTGATTAGAGATTTTACACCTTTTGTTATTGGTGAATGCAGTGGAACTCCTCAAGAGATGGGGAATAAATTACGTTAGAAGTGTTTTTGAATGACGTCCTGATCTTTAGACCACTGAGTGAGTCTAATGTTTGAGAATCGTCTTTTCCAGGAGAAACAAAAGAGCTCCAATATAGAGGCTGTGCGCAAAAAATCAGGAATTAAATCACTTTACGAGCGCACACTTTCAATACTGTGGATAACCCTGTAATCTTCATGGAAGGTTAGTGTGTTTCGAAATTAAAGGACAGCAATTTATTGCTGCAGGTTCTTACACGTAATCATTTGCCATTGTACAAGCCTTCCTATCGTCTGGCAGGGATTATGCGTTGCCTTAGAAGCTCACAGTTTTGCGTTGAAAAACATGTGACAGTGCCTTACTTGAACTCCCTGACAAGATTGTTGTTCAAACTATGCCCGATCACTTAAATTATGTGCTATATGTTTGTACATTTGATGTTTTGAATAGGGGGCAGTCAATTAAATATGTTTAAATTTTTCGAGAACGAACGGCGCTGTTGAAAATGGATCTGCAGATGTCCCATTAAAAGTGCCTATTTGTTGAAATTTCAATACAGCTTTAACAACAAGGGAGCCCATGGTATCAGCTTGCGTCGCCTTATGCTCTCAGTCTGGTCCGTGAGAACGTCAAAGGTTAATTGGCACATAAAAATGACGAAATTTTAAACAAAGTGGAGGAGTGTGAACGAGTGTTTTGTTTCGCTGTTCATTTTTCTATTGTCAGTGTGTCATTAAATACGGTATCGGTTTGTTACAGATTTTTGAATCGAGTAATCTTTGAGTTGTTTTGGCTGATTTTTATTTATTTCAAAGGCAAATGAATACGAGGGCGGTAAAGCGTCACTGATGGACGACACTTGGCCTGGCTATCACAATGCATCAAACTGTGATTTTCAAAACCTGCTCTTTGTTCATTCATGCTTGGTGTGACATGTAACCGCTAAATAAGCACTCCTAAATGGATTTGTTGTAAACTGAAACCAAGGTGAAGCAATGTGTGTTATAGGTGCCTCAAAAATTGGTATTGGTAATTAAAAATGATAGCTAGAAGGAGCTGGTTTCACTAGCTGCGATTTGAAATAATTTACATCCGTAAGATTCTTTTTTCAGTTGAACCCTTGCAAAAGTCTAGGTAAAAATTTGTAAGTATTTGGAGCAGCTCAAACCCATCATTGGTTTTGTGACCTCGTCATCGGGTGCACGCAAATGACAGCTTCAAACGTCACTGTTCAGATTCGGGAACTTAGTAATGAGTTTGCGATTAAGTGATATCTTTGTGGAAATTCAATTTATAAAATTTACACGAATTTTTCCTTTTCCTTTGAAGGAATCAGTGCGGATCGAATAAAAGAACATTTTGAGGTCGATGTTATTTATGGAACTTCTACGGTGAACTTTCATCAAACAATCGTGGGTGAAGCGGATTCACGAGTCGGTCGTATGTCGAATACATTTGACGTTCCATATTAACTCACGCACTTTAACTAGAACCTGCAACTCCATGCCCAGGGCCGAGAACCGAGAATATTCTGGCAATAATTACTCACATATTTTAGTTCTCAACAGCAGAAAAGAAGTCAAAGAAGAGGACAATGACAGGCAGATAAAGGAAGAATTGAGACACGCACGCACGCATTAATCGTCGACGAAAGGCGGCTGTGGTTACACGGTAGGGTGGGGGGGTGGTTTGGCTTTAAATAAACTACTTCCAAGGCGCATGCATCTCGTGGTCGTCTGTCCAGATATCAACAGGTGAGGATGCGAAAGCCAGATAAAGGTGTGTGTGTGTAAAAGTGTTTCAGCATCTACTTAGCGTCTTCAGGGTGTGTTGCGATGATCTGAGAGACGATGCGGGTGCGTGTTTGTGTGTGCTTGTGGTAGAGACGATGCGAAAAGGCACTAGAGAGGGTGAGGTTGTGAGGGGGCCGTGGCAGGCAATCTCCTTTGCGTTCTCTCGCTTGTTCAGCCGCCACCCGCTTACAAGACGTCCACGATGAAGGGACTGCCTGGAATGTGGGTTTCTCCCCACTTCACCATGATGTAGTGACGGCCACGATCGCGAACCGAGTACTGCACGTTGAAGAGGTTGTCGCCGACGTGCTTGATATTCACCTCCTCACAAGGCACCCTGGGTCCGGAAACACCCACGTACAGTACGTCGTTGCCTGCGGAGGGAGACGAAAGGGCAAGCCAATCAGGTTGAGGGGTTTCCACGACCTCACTGGTTGAGGTGTTGTGGTTAAACGCAGGCCAAACACGGTACAACACAGCAAAGATTTGCGCTTACACCTCAAACACATGTACGCACGTGCGGTGAATTGACTTAGCCCCCAAGTATTCTCAAATCCTGAAACCTGGCGGGATAAATGCGCATTGTGGGTTGTATGTTTTGTTCATAGTGGAGAAATCTCTTGCGCTTAACGTACATTCAACTAAAAGCACGAAATTCACTTGACCTTGAGTTGGCCAATAGGGGATGAGGTTACTGGAACCGGTCTTGTGCGTTCTAATGAGGTCGATTATTAGAACCCAGCCGAAGTTTGAAAACCCATCACAAAACCATTTTACGGATGCTAGCAGATCAATGTAGTTACTGACTATTGAGTAATTTTGAACCTGGTTGTAAGCCACTAAGTAAATCGAGTTGGTTAAAATCAAATCCATTGAGGTTGCATATTTTAAATGGTCAGTCGATTTAAACGATTTGACGAGGTCGGTTTAGTCTAACAACGATGCTTTCTATTGGCTAAAATGTTCAACGTTTTCCCCAAAATCCCGTTCTTTTGAGGTGTGTGTGTGTGTGGTAACTATGTGCAAATTTCATGGGGAAACAGCATGCTATAGCGTGCAACCTTGTAGAGCCGTCACTGCTACACAATGCGTAATAAATGGAATGCGTGAGACGATAATAGCAACTGTAATGATGGTGATAATGGCAGAACGCAGTCGCCATTATGTACCTGGCCACGTGTCTGCAAGGAAAGACGACATTTCATTAGCAGTCTCTCTCAAACCCTACACCGCCAAATTATGGAGTTCGTTGAGTGGTCTAGCTACTGATTCAGGTTCCCCGTGATTGTTGTTTATCGATCATTACAGAGCGTCTCACTCACCGGCATTCTGGGCGTTGACGGTGAAGGTGTTGGCAGAGCCGATGTAGGCGTGGGTGAGACCGCTGCCGGAGCAGGTGACGGCATCCGCGCGTGAGTAGCCCATGGATCGCTGTGGTCCCGTGACCATGCGACCGTTCGTGTTCACGATGAGCTGGGCAGTGTCCTCTGTGTAGCCGTACACAGGGTCACCTGTAACGTAGGCCTACAAGGTAGAATGGGTGTCTGACGGACATTCGCATTTCAAGTGGAAGTTGAGATTATGCATTTAAAATGTGCGCGATTCCTATTGGTAGATCTTGACTTTATTTATGCCGCCGTTTTTAATTGGTTGTCAAGGCTGCAAAATTCCAGCACACAAACACAAACGCGTATCCGCATACCCTGAAGGGGGAGTGGTGGATGTGTTGGCCATCGTAGGTGACGCTGATGTTGTACTGACCAGGTGCGTAGGGCGTGTAGCTGAACTCGTAGCCGTCCAGACGCTCGTTGCAGTTGAGTTGCACCTTGCTCGGGCCATCCACCGTCACTGAGAGCGACCCACTGCCGGCGTTGGCGGTGTTCACGAAGAAGCGACTGCGTTCACCTGGTGGAACACAAGAGGGGGGGGGAAAGGGACACGGAGATACCACCAAACCCTCAAGCTTTACTTGCATGCGGTGCTTCGATTCACCTTGCAAAGCACGTAAGCACTGACACCTGGAGTGTCTAGAAGTTTATTGCTTAGTTAGAACTTCATAAATCCAGCTTTGAGCACGTCCTGTCACTTCTGCACTGACAACTTTGGCAATTATATTCCAAATACGTTCCAATACTTGAGAATCAATGGCACTTCGTGCCATTTTAAAGCAATTAAAAGCGTGTAAAGTGAAAGAAAAAACACAAATAGTGCAAGCTGCAAATTAGGAGCACATTGGAAGCACAATGGCAGCATGTAGCAGCGAATCCGGTTTGGGCATTTTCAAGGTTACGAATGACGTACCAACAGCGCCGCTCGTGAGGCCGGCACCCGACGCGACGATTGACTGGGGGTCTTGGTTTGAGAGAGACATCGGTCAATCAGAGGATCGGTGGTAACCCATTGGTGCAATAATATTTCGTCCAATTAAATCCATTCGAGACAAGTGTGCACACTGCATGATCCAATGCCTAACTAGCTGACCTTTCAACCTCCAAAAATTCTAGACAACCTGAGGACGTACTTGGGCTAGGATTAAAAAGGTTTGCCTTAAATAGCCCACAAGTTCCAGACGTGGTGGACCTTTTTCGTGATGAGTTACCAATTATTGAAGCCTCCTTCTAGGAGTTCTACTGCGGACAGCAATGCGTGCCAATAGCTGCCATTTTTTTGCGGTAATCCAATGAAATCTGGCAGTGCCCAAATCGAGTTTTTGCCATATGGGTGAATTTTTGGCGTACCGACGACACCGCGATTGAGACCGTCTCCATTGGCCCTGACAAGACCCGGCTCGCAGAAGTCCTCCTGCCCCACCAACACACGGAACGGACTGCCCGGGATTGGCCGGTCGTCGAGCAGCACATGCACTAGGTGCGGTCCGTTCTCCTGCGGCGTGAAGCGGACCGCGTGCTGGTCGATGTCGACGGGAAGTACAACTGCGGGCTCCTCCTTACCTGACGGTGTAACTACGTAGGCTCGAAGACGTCCACGCACACCCGTGTAGTTCACGGTGAAAGCCATCGGTACACCGATCTAGTGGAGTAAAGCAAAGCATTGTGTCTAGTCTAACGAAACACCGAGTTGAGCTCGATTGTGTCGCAGCGAATTTCGCCAAAGGCAAATAATTTGCATCATGGCGACGCTGGAATTGGAAGAATTCCAACTTACTTGGAGTCCTCTGTCCTGGACTGCAGCAACGCTGAGCTGACGATGTTCGCTGGCGTAGTAGCCCCCGGTGTCTTCGATGTCCAGACGAAACGGCGAGCCTTGAACGTGCTCGTCGTTGAAGCGAATGGAGCAGAAGTATTCTCCGGGCTCGGAGACTCGGAAGGAGACAACACAGGATCCATCTTTTCGATCCTAAATGTACACGAACCACATCAGTTTCTCTCTTACCGACATATTTCGTTCTTGCAAAGTGACTAGAGGTCCTGTCTACTTAATGATGTCTCGCAAGGACGCAGCTGAGGCAAGCAGGGCAACATCCAGTCGCTCAGTTGAAATCGTTCGGATGTAATTCCATCAAATCACCATGTTTTCAACTCAGAGGACGTTTTTAGTCTTGTGTGAAAATCTGAATAAATTCGACCTCCACCGAAACCTGGGACAAGGGAGACCGACTAGGCAAAGCAATGAGTTGTGTAAGTGGATGTGTTGAGTGCGCCAATGGCAGCATCTCACCTCAAAGTCGATTTCAGCCTTGCTTGGTCCTTCAATGGCGATGGAGAGGTTGCCAGCACCGGCCTCGCGGGTGTAGATGCTGAATTCGTTGTTGCAATTGGCGTAGCCTCTTTGAATGCCTTGGCCAAGGACGCGCACTTTGTTAGCGCCGCCATCGGTGATTGGTCCGACGGTAAACTGGAACGGGCTTCCTGAACACCACGTGGGAAAAAAAGCTGATCACCAGTTTCAAATATTCCCGTTTCTTGCAATAAAGACAAGAAGCTAACACCCCACTGACGTCTCGTACAAGCGTCTAAAGTATTACTTTTATTCTCCCAAGATTTTCCCCAGATCTCATCCACCACGACCAGCGAATTCGGTGGAGGCATTCGTAAGCCAACTCAACCTTCACGAGACTGCGTTTGGTAAAACCCAGCAGACGCGACGACCTACCAGGTATGTGGAGGTTTCGATGGCGCACGGAGACGGTGTGCACGCCTGTCTCCTGCGGCACAAAGCGAATGCAATAGTTCGCGTGGTCCAGTTCCGACACCATGCATTTCTCTGTGTGTCCTGACGGACTGGTGACCACTGCGCTCATCTCGCGCACGTTCACACCTGCAAAGAGAAGCGGGCGTGCAAGCTATCCGGTCATGCAAACAGGCCATCTGGAAGACTACCCCAATCGTGATTGGCTTGTATTACACACTTACGAACCAATCAGAATCGATCTCCAATGAACCAACTCAAAGCCAGTTCAAATTCGCAAATTGCCTATGTTGGAAGATACTCTAACAAACGAAAATTTGTCAAATTGCCTAGCTCTTATCTTAATCGTAAATACGTAGCTATTTACGCCTAGCATGAGCGTTCGCCAGCCGCAAGCAACTGAACAGCATCCGATAGGTCAATGTCCGATGAGCCAATCAAACATGCACGGGGAGCACGAGTTGATGAATCACGTACCAGGGATTTTGAGGTTGAGTTCGCATTGGCTACCAACTTGGGTTGCCTCGGCGACCTCGCGTTGACGCGTGATTCGCTCCATGACCCGAGCCGAAGGGTGCCCGCCGATGTTCACGGCGAAGGGACTGCCAGGCACATTCTCGTCGGCGTATTTGACATTGATGATGTAGGTGCCGGGTTCGGTTGGACGGTAGGTAACTAGGCATGTGCCGTCTTGGTTGTCGTGACATTCGATGTCCGCCTTGCTTGGACCCTCAATCGATAGACTAAGGCCTCCAAAACCTTCACAAGTCAACAAAAAATTGGCATTAACAAAAACCTGCCTAGATATTCGCAGAACGAGATTTCCATCATCGGTTTCTACAACTGAATGGGCATTGATATCCATTGGTCGAAGCCCTTGGCCAATATCCTGTCTTGTGGCATGTGGTGACAAGTGATTGTCGACTTGTAAGGCATTCCAATCAGCGTAAGTTTATATTTTACCAACTTGCACACGCATCAACTGACTCACCAGCGTCACTAGTATCGACAGTGAACTGGCAATTCTGATTGGCTGTTCCCTCGTGAAGGCCACGACCGTAGACACGCACACGCGAAGCATTGCCGAGCTCTGATTCGCCGACGAATATCTTGAAGGGGCTGTTCGGTATGGGGCGTCCGTTGCGGTACACGTTCACCAAATGATCACCGATCTCGCGCGGCGTGAACGAGATGCCTACAACCCAAATCGCATCACTTCAGTCACTGAAACTCTGGGATACGCTTAACACCCACCAATGTAGGGAAGTGGTTCGTGTCGTCTTCGAAGACAGCCAACAACTTCTTCCTCACTTTAACCACACCCGTAGGGTTGGTAAAGGTTGTTTGCTAGCGTGTCGATGACCTCGAAACACTCGTTGGGCGTGCTTAGTCGATCCTCAGCACAGCACAAAAATGGAGAACCCTTTAAACAAGACACGCAGGAAGTGCTCACAAGTGAATGCGACACGTCTTACCTAGATGTCCGTTGGGCAGGCGTTTGATCATTGAGGGCTGTTCGATGCCAGACGGATTGGTGACGGTAGCGGTGAGGTTGTAAATGTCGGTCTCTGATATCCTCAGCGGAACCTCGCTCGTGGTGCCAACCATCACTTGAGTCATGCGAAGTGGATCTTCTATGAAGTAAACGAAGATTCACAGACCTCAAAACCATCCCGCGTCGTAGCCAGCCAATCGTAAAAAAATTATGGTGACCACTTACTTGGGCTTTAGGAAATCGATGGAACACCGAAAATCAATTGTAGGTAGTGGCAAGCACGCTTAATCATTGGCTCATTTGAACCCTTTATAAACCAGTCAGGTCCATTTTGCAGGATTCGAAACACCTATTAACACCGTACACTTGCTCTAGCACACTATACCATAATTTGATGCAAACGCCTGACAGTCAACAATATTCTGTCGTAGTAATCGAAACACAAGTCACTTATTTTTTGGAATCAATGTTTTTGAACCACGCGTAGATCCTGACGCACCCATAATGTTGGCGATGAATGGTGATCCTTGAATGTGCTGATCCATGAACTTAATGGAGATGGTGTATTCACCAGGCGCCAGCGGGAGGTAGCTCGCAGAGCATGTTCCATTCTTGTTGTCTCGACAGACGATCTCCGCTTTCGAAGGTCCCTCCACAGCAATCGATAAACCACCTGAAGCATGGATAATTTTAGAAATTTCCGCTTCAAAGAAACTTCCAGTCAGAAACAGAAGTTGGCGAACGTACCCGCGCCAGCTTCACGTGTGACTAGGGTGAATTCGGCCGGTTCGCCAGCACGACCATGGCTCAGACCCGGTCCGTAGGCAGTCACACGCCCTGAACCGACAGGCTCCACGTAGAAGCGGAAGGGACTGCCTTCGATGGGGACACCGTTGTAAGTGATGTCCAACTCATGCAGCCCGGCCTCATTCGGCTGGAATTGGGCCGTCACTGTCCCGTCGCCGTTGTCCAACAGCGTCGGACGAATTGTCCTCCCGCCTGGAGTGCGAACAATGCCTAGAACCGCAAACATTATTCGCATAAACGTACATTGGCTAAAGTCATTGATTACGTTGCTAGGATTAGCAGCACTCACCTTCGAGATTTCCAAATTTGGAGCCGACGGGCAGCTTAAAATCGATCGGGTAGTAGCCGGTGTCCTTGACTGACTCGTGGTATTGCGTTAGTGTGGTTGAATGCATTGTTTGAATGGGCACGCGTTCAACTCGTTCCTCCTAGACGTTGAATTACCAAGCAGCAGCTTTCCAGAACACTCAGCATAATTCAATATCGTTTTAATGAAGACAGACTTACGGGAACTGGTTGAATGAGTTCATCGAGGTTCACCGCCTGCAAGAGGTCAGATTGGGTGGGCCAATAAGGTTCAGTGGGGATAATGTAAATATTCAAGTTTAAGCGCAACGCTGCTCACCTTTTGGTTGAATCGACCGCCTTGCACCAGTTGTCCACCAAAGAGGATTTCGACCATATGATCGCCGGGCATCTGTGGTGTGTAGCAGACGTTGACCTTGCCGTTGGGAAGTTCAACGGTGTGGACGTCTGCTGGTTGGCCAGTTGGCGCAATGACCCGGCCAATGACACGGCCCTGACCCGCTTCGATGGGGTTCACGGTGATCGCGCATGGCTGGAAGATCGGTATTCGAGGATCGTTGCCACCTGCAATGCCAAGGCGTGTGATTGGTTTTGACCAATCAGGTGAAGGTATCGATTTGAAAGAAATGCTACGAAGCCAGAAACCTCGTAAGACGTATACGGAATCCTTGTGTTCAAGACATTCATCCCACAGAAGTCTGCCTTTTTTAACACTCTGTAGATATGTGTAACAATTTTGCAGTGGCCAATCATAACCTAGCATGGGATCGTGAACACATTTTTGATTGGTCCGCACCCAGCCAATTAGCACTTCGTGTTGCAAAGAAAACCGAATCACAAGAGTTGTTATGATAATTAACTGCGTTTAATGGTAATGTCAGTAAGCTGCCAAGACAGTGATTGTGGTAGAAAGAAAAATCGTAACTTGAAAGATACTTACTTGACATACATGAATCAAAAACACGGTGAACTTATCCTTTTTAAACCGCTCATCACTATGATAGAACCTGAACAGTCTACAATGGTTTCAACCGAAAGCGATCATGTTTTAAGCTTGATGAACCAGACCAAATAGCACCAAAGCAACTAACCAATCAATTCAGAGCTTTACTTTCATCCACCAGTAAAAATGCAGCTGCAGTTAATTTGAGAAAAAGTGGCCAAACCAACCACTCTCCAAGTCTTTCGACTCACCTTCAATACGACACATGTTTGGACGTCCAGTTGGGTGAACCTTCACGCAGTACGGACTCTCGGGAATGCCACGACCGCCGAACTTGACGTCAACGTAGTGCGGACAGGCCTCCTCAGGCTGGTATTGGCACGAGTACACGCCGTCGCCGTGGTCAGCCACCTCCAGTTGGAGTGGTCTCTGCTGAGAGTCCTGCAACAGGAAGGACATGCATGTTTGAGTCTTGTCAAGGTGATTGGAACGGTGCTTCAACAACAACAAAAACAACAAAGGTGCTACGACGTCTAGAGTGGTGCAAAACGTCTGTGCATGTACGCGTTTTTAACACGATTGGGGAGGTTTAGTGGGACAGCAGTTAGGTTAATGTCGAATATCGATCCCCACACCCTGGAATAACACATTCTGAACACATTTCACACAATAACCTCGTCTTTCTTTAGGAATCCTACATAACGAGTGGAGTGCGAATAGGCGTGTCACAAAGGGGAAACTGTCTACTCCAGAAAGACTCTTCAATAAAGGGCAGAGGGGGGGAGGGTGAGTGTGAGGCAGTTTAGTGTGGAAATTGTAGTGATCATTTTTTCTGTTGGAGGCTGCTTCTTCGAGATTGGCTCCTTTTAGATGGTCGAGTCTGTGCGGAGGCGGCTGAAGGTCGCCGTGGGGACTAAAGGCAGGCAAAGCACATACCCACAAAGAATACAACCCTTACCATATATTAACAGGGCAGATACGTGACCTTATCTGGTTTGCTTTATCGATTACATTTCTGAAAGTGACGACATCTCATAACAAGCTGGCACCATTAAAAAAGAACAAAATAGTCAAACTACGTAGTATTTTTCGTAAAATATTGAAGATTGGCGTTAAAACGAAAGACCTCCGGCTGTTGTTTAAATTTGCGACCGATACTCTGGCACCTAGTTCAACGCTGTGGATTTCTTTTGCCAGACTAGATCTAATTCATATTGCGACTTAGTTTCAACTTTAAATCAGCAGTTTGTTGAATTAGTTTGGAAAAACCGCCACTCGCGGTGATCCTGAACTCACCGTGACCGTCAGTTCAAGGTCGCCTGATCCGGCTTCACGTGTGTCCACCTGGAAGTTGGTGGGTTGGCCAGCGGGCAGTCCATCGGGCCGACTCGGACGCACACCCTCACCAGTGACACGAACCTTGTGCGGCTCGCAGGCCGGCAGCACGTTCTGCACGAACGGCGATCGTGGCACTGGAGTGTTGTTGAGTCGCACATCGATTTGACACGGTCCGTCGTCGTCCGGGACGTAGGTTACGTCGTAGACGCCAGCTTGGTTCAGTCGGGGCACCACGTTGTCGGGGATCTTGCGGCCGTTGCGGTCCGTGTGAGTCACCTACAAGAGGCAGCCAATCATGTTTAAGCTCACCTCGTGGCTCAGTGTTCTGCTCAGGTTACAGTGTTGTTGGAGGTGGTAGTGGTGGTGGTGGTGGTGGTTGTGGAAGGCCTTGTCAGGCACTTACTGTGATGGGAGCTTCTCCGGCTTGACTGGCGTCGACAGTGAAGGTTGCAGGAACTCCAGCACGCGCGCCGTTCGGTTCGAGACCCGGACCATAGCATCGCACTTTGTTTGGATCGATTCGATCGCGAATCGGGATATTGAATGGACTGCCTGTGGCGGTACAAATACAAGAATATTTTTTTCAAGACTGACCACCCCATTGGTACAACAGTATAGGGAAATGTCGGAAAGCACCAGATCGGTCGAAAAATGCATTACAACTCACCAGGAATATCCATATCGTTGAGTTTGATGAACAAGTCGTAGTTGCCGGCCTTGGTGGGCAGGTACTCCACGGAGCAGGTGCCGTCTTTGTTGTCCACACAGTTTATCTGGGCATCGGCGGGCCCCTCAAGAGCCAATCCAAGGCCGCCTTGACCAGCACCATCCAGATCGATGGTGAAGGGCTGCGGCTCGTGGGTGAAGCCTCCTTCCAGACCTGGGCCGAAGGCGCGTACCCGTGAAGGGTCACAACCCGGCGTGACGTGCACCTTAAAGGCACTGCCAGGGACTGGCATTCCATCGTAGTACACCTCCACCTGGTGCAGGCCTAAGCAAAACCCAGAGTTAATTCAGCAAGTGGTCTGAATCAGCGTTGGAAATAGGCTAAAAATGCTGGACAAGCCACGAACCATCAAGGAGAGGCGAGTAACTGCACTTGTACGTTCCGTCGCCCTGATTCTGCACAATGCACGCCGTTCTCTGCTTCGTGGGATCAACGACAATCGCCTTCACGACACCGCGACCAGCTGGATCGATTAGTTTGGCGTCTACGGTGAACTTGGCAAACGACTCCTTGAAAACACCTGTGAGGCAAAACAATACAAAAATCAGAACATTGCTGAAACAACTTCTGTTTCTGGATTCATTCAATCAGCAGGCTTCATGCAGCATTGCGTTTTCCGGAGATTCCAACAATGGAAACCGAGTCATGCAACGGCATTTTATGCTACAGTTCAAGAGGCATGGAACTGAACACATTTGCAGGCCCAAGTCCCAACGATGCGTCTTCATGCGCAGGTGTCGTTCAAATGTACCCGTCGGTTGAAGTCCAGGTCCATAGGCTCGAACCTTCGAAACATCCAGCAAGTCACGACCTGCTGGTGAGACCTGCACGGGGAACGGACTGCCCGGGACGTGCTTGTCTTTGTAGAGCACATTCACGGTGTAGGGTCCAGGTTCGACTGGCAGGTAGTCCACTCCGCATGTTCCATCACCGTTGTCTGTGTAGTTTATCTGTGCCTCAGCAGGTCCTTCAATGGTCACCGACAATGGAGCTGGCGGTGCTTCACGGCTATCGATGGTGAAGTGTGCAGGTACGTTGGCAGTGGCCTTCCGCAGTCCATCGCCGTAGGCATGCACCAGACCAGAAGGATCTTGTTGGGCGGCAAATGTGGCGGGTTTTTTGACGGCAGCGATCGGTGCGTCCTGGATTGGAACGGCGTTGCAGGGGAACGGGCTGCCTCTGACTGGCGCGCCAGCCACATCGACAGCAACCTGGTGCGGACCAGGCATCGTCGGTGTGAAGGTCGCCTCGTAGCCGTCTGGCGTTTCTGTGAGTTGACTGGGCACACGCATGCCATTGGGTGCCTTCACAATGACATTGGGACGCGGTTTCGGTGAGCTAGGTGGACCGGCTCCAGCGGTCACAACATCAAAGGTCGTTGGCTTGCCAACGGGTATTGCTGCAAACAGGCGGTAATGTGCTTCAAATTTGGCCATTACGGTAAACGCTTCGAAGCACATATTACTCAAATCCCACTCGAGAACTTACTGACATCGAAATCCATGAAACCTTGGTTTTTAGGCAGCAAAAATTCGCAGAACTGAATAGAAATCGTGAGAAATGGCATTGCTTTACATTAATGTCAATAACCAGTCAGCATTCTCACGTGTTCTGCTTCAAGATTGTCTATTACCGCCATGGCTGGATTTGATTGGCTAAAGCATTGATTTGTGTCCTTGAAAAAATGTCACGTTTACTGTGGCTTTGGCTTCCACATTACTTATTCAGTGAAATTTCCTGGGCAACGCCCAATCACGTTTCGGTAAGTACAAAAGACAATAGAGGCAGAGTGATGTAACTGGTTGAGGTAGTTGTTACCTGGAAACCTCTAAAGTCGATAGGGGGAACGACTGTAGGACTCACTTGAGGGCAGTCCGTCAACGTGAACCTTGCTCATGTCAACATTCGGCTTGACAGGCACCTTGAAGGGACTGCGTGGAACTTCGGTGTTCTCGAAGTACACCTGGACGGTGTAGGTAGGTCCAGCAGTCATTGGCGTGTAGGCGACCTTGAAGGTGCCATCGCGCATGTCCTTGGTGTCCATGGGAACATCGCGTCCCGCCTCGTCCCTCACGCTTATTCCAACATTGCCTGAAGAAGGCATTCGTTCGGTAAAGAAAGCATTTAGCCAAGTGTCCAAACGACCTCAGCTCAAGCTGATTGGTGCCTGTAAATCTATCGTACATTTCATTGGTCTGAATAAATCACTGTTATTCTAGTAGCTGAGAAGCAAAGTGCTCTTGTCTGTTACTTAAAACCAAAGCCCATGGCACGACAAGAAGAGCTAGACAGAGTCAAAACGTGCCTGGACCGGCCTGCTTGCAGTCGACGATGAAGTAGGTGGGTTCGTTGCGCGTGATCGACTCCACACCCGGTCCGTAGACACGCACGTTCCCCGGGTTGCAGGGCTCGGCCACATCGACCTTGGAAGGGAAAACAGACAGACGATGAAAGTGCTTGCCGCGGAGGTCACTGTGGCATCAAAAAAGAAGAGAGAGACGCATCTTACCCTGAATGGAGCCCGGGGCACTGCGACACCGTTGTACGTGGGAATGACGGTGTGCTTGACAGGCCGCTTCGCGGTGTACGAGCAGGTGGCAGTGAGATCGCCGTTGTCTCGCACTCGAATTGGCACCGGCTCGCCAGCCTCGTCGCGCAGTTCACAGGCGAACGGCGCTGGACCACCAGCGTCGCGTGCGTCGATGGTGAATTCCGTCGGAATGCCCGCTACTACGCCAGGAGACAGCCCCGGTCCATAGCATTTTACCTGGATTGGCAAAAAACACCATCGAAATGGAGTATGAAACGCTTCCACGCAAAGCGATTTGATTAACCTGACGCTGTTTCATCCGTAGTGGTGGTAGTCTAGAGAAAATTGACCCTTCTCGTGGTGTTGACGGAAGGGACTAGTGGAAATCTGATTGGATAGCGTATTGGGTTAAACTCACCGCGTTGGGATCGCATTTTCCGCTGTCCGCCTGAATAGGAACCATGTAGGGTGACTTGGGAATGTTCTCCTCGTTGCACAGTATATGGACCGCGTATTCACCTGGCACTGTCGGCCAGTAGACGACCGTCGCTGAACCGTCGCCGTTGTCGGCGCAGTCTATGCGCGCTTCACTAGGTCCCTCGATCGAAAACCCTAGGCAAACAGGAGTCGTGTAGTACGCTCTCAGCAAATTCACCCGAAAAAATGTGTTATCCATGCCATAAGTTCTGTAGATACTATTTGTTTTAACGTTTGGTATAATGTTCTGTCCTACGTGAAGCTGCTGATTAATGATTGGTCCGCATCGTGCTTTTCCGCCAACTTACCGAAGCTAACATCTTGACTGATCTAGTTGCTAAAATAGGTAGCTGATATGATGCCAAGATGGCTATTTTGGTCTTCATGAAACAAACTACGCCTCGTGTGGGATTAGCCCGCAATACGTGATTCAGCGGTAGTGACTAATCAAACGGATTTTTTGCTTTATCGCTGCGGTGTACGCTGGTGCTGCTGTTCCTGCTGAGGTTATGCTTGGATTAACTTTTGCAAAACAAACCACTGTGAACGCGGAGAAAAGTGTTATTTGCCTCCAAGCGGTATCTTACCAAGAGCTCCTGTCTCGCCGTTTGTTTCGACAACGAAGACGGCGGGCTTGTTGACAATCCCACCAACTAGACCGGGTCCAAATGCCCTGATCCTCGTCTCCTTATAGGGTCCAACATCAACCTGGATTTTTCGAAAAACGCAAAAATCATATTGGGGCAGTGAGCTTTTTTTGGAAACAAATCGTATCACCTGGAAAAGGTGGTGTGTAATTTATTCTGAAACGAAAATTCCTTGAACAAATTACGGACCTTTATCATCTACGTGACTTTTATCACGATTGACCAATTAGAACGCTACGTGCACACCAATGAGAGGCGGGGAAGTCTGGCCCATGAGATCCAATAAGATTTGTGCTTGCCAGTTTGTGGGATCGATTTTCGATTTGATTCGATTTCGATTTTTGATTACCCCGCGAGAGGCTTGATAGCTCATAAGTTCGTGGAATTATTTAGAAATAACAGTTCACCTTGAATGGACTCAGCATGATATGATCTCCGCCGTAACGGACATTCACGGTGTGAGGTCCAGGCTGCTGTGGCGTGTAGACGCATTCGTAGGTGTACGGTCCGATCTTTCGTTGCTGACATTTCTCCTCTCGTCCGGCTAAAAAACGAGCAAATCGGAAAGTAATCTGTGTAGACAATCTTGATTTTGAAATAGAATGACAATTGATGTTGTAGCGATCAGGCGCTAGGTCAGATCACTTCCACAACATTTCAGCGGCATAAAAAACCACCGATTTTACTAAAGTACTTACTGGGTCCAACAACCGTCGCCTCCAGGACCCCCTCTCCGGCCTCCTCCGTGTGCACTTTGAAGTCGGCCAGGTCGCGGACTCGCACGCCCTGGGGTTGGATACCGCGACCGGTGGCGTAGGCCTGTTTCGCGTCACAAGCTACACACAAAAGGAGAGACAAAATTCGCTCACACAATAACCACCAAATGCAAATTCACAAACACAGGAGTTCTGGCGGCTCCATCGTCTGTCTTCGTTGGTACAGCAAGGAACTCGGGAAGTACAAAGCTACAAACACCTTGTCGTTGTTGCATTCAGCCAACAGCCAACACTTAAACGCACAGCACCAGGCGAAAGATGTGTCAAATTTCACGCATGAATCCAGATTTTAGCGAGGAGGGGCCGAATTAGCAGCATGTAAAGCGCAGTAACACCACCACCACCATCATGCACGCACGCACGAACGAACCAACCAACCAACGCGGATTTTGAAAGCCATGCTCTTAGCAAGTGGCCCTGGAACCAACCTGGTCTGGGTGGTGCGTAGCTCTGGTTGTCCGGCCGCTTGATCGGGCTAATGGGCTGATCTAAAAATGAACGTCTTAACCCTTCAACAATGCTACATCGAAACAGACATGGCGAAACCACATTGACGGAGAAAGCGTGATGGAGCGAATGCGTGTGAGCGCGCGGTTCCATTTAGTAAAGCAGCATGCGCGACCAACAAGATTTCAACCAGGTCTTGCTAGCCATAGCTGAATTGTTTCAACTCCTGAAAACTGGGATTGGTGTGGGGCTGTGAATTGGTCAGCATCGAGGTCAACTTCCATCACGTGACGGCATCGTGCGGGAACCTGGCTAAATTTATCGGCGCGTCGGCTGAGTCACCGCGATCATGGGGTTTGCCAAAATGAGGTTTTTTTATGTCGTGATGTGTGCAAACGTTTTGCTGGAAGCAGTGCATGATTGCGGAGGAAGCAAGCGACTATAAGGGCGAAACAGTTGCCATCGCGAAGCCGCCAATAACGTGGCGTCAACTTAAACAAACCTGACTTCAAGGCCGGGATTCGATTGGCGTTGAGTGGTTTTGAACCACCCTGTTCAATTGGCGCTTCTACAACAAAGCGTTTCCAGTGGTAAAACAGAAATTTGACCGCAGAAATCGTTTCGTGTGCCCGAAACCTTTACTTCGGACGGAATTTTTTTTTAAAATTTCTAGTTTATTGGCGGTCGTTTAAATCATGCTCGGCAAAAAAGTTAGCGATTTGACCAATGAAAGTAATCACAGTTTGGTAAAAAAGACCGAGGGAATAACGCAACATACCAGCCTTCAAAGGTGACTTGGGGTAGGAGTCACGTCGTTCCATTTTTGTCGGTTCTACAATGTTACATTTTGTGAAACGATTGAGCAGCTCAACGCTATCCTACCAAGATCTAATTTAAAATCAGAAGAGGCTCGATCAACCAATCAGAAGCACGGATCACCGAGATAAACTGTCGTAAGAGAAGTAAGCTACATGCTTGATTCAGTCGACCGAGGCAAAGCTCAGATTTCGGAGTTGCGTCGTTATTAAGATGTGTTTGTGCCAATTTCGACAGCTGTGGTAGGTCCGGTTTGGCTGGCTGTTCCATCGAAGTAGCTTCGTGCTTGACCAACTGGTCGATCGCAGAATGACGTGTACAAACTGGACCTAAGCCAGCTCGAACTGGGTATAGACGTTTTTTTTGAGATACAGAGGGTCTACCAGGCAGGGAACACTAGGCACTTTGTTCTACAGCAGAGCAGATCCACGTCATTCCGTGGAAAGGGCATAGGACAAGTTTGTTTCAAGAAGGGAAAAGAGGGTTGATCTACGCATTCAGCAAAGCATGCGATCCACTGGCTCCGAATTGAGCACATCCTACACGCCTGTACAAACCTGGTGCCACACGAACACCGACATCGGTGGGGCGATTGCGACCAAAGAGGTTTTTAAGGTCTAGCAAACGGAAGTAGAAGGTGTTACTTTCCGACACGACTGTGCACCGCTCGACTAAGTTTGCAGACGGGCTAACGTGCAGGGTGTGTTGTTTTTAGGTATAGCAGTGCTAAGAAAGCGATGCATTCGGCTTGAACTAAGGCATCACAAGCGAACCTTGCACAACACCTCTCATCAACGGTTGATTGGCTCCTTCTAGTGACAAGAAAACAATCAAGGTCAGATGGTGTGCTGCAAGTTGGGTGTTGATTAAATTCGTCTCTAAGCAACACTATACAAACCTTGGGCAATCTTGGCCTCGGGGGAAACGCCTAGAAGGTAAAACCGGGGAACCAAATACATGCCGAAAGAATTGTGAAGAACGAAAAAAAGGTTGACCGAAACGAACCTTGCAAGCCGGCGCCCTTAGGTAGAGAAGTCTGCCTTGGAAGTGATTTAACCTCTGCAAATAGGGACGTGAGTCATTGGAAAAGTGAACAGTATAACCCACACAAAATGACCTTTGACCTTTTCGCTGTAGAAGTCATGCTAGAAGTCTAATCAGGCTTGAATTCGGTTAGTGGAAACTCTGACCAATCACACCACAGGACCCGAGAACATGCTCATATCTCATTGGCGGAAAACCTGACCAATCACATCTCACCCCGAGAACTTTTTTCTTATTCAAATGGCCAATCAACAAGCCTCAGCGACGGCAAGTCTGCTTAAAACTTCTTAAACGCAAATACTGAAATCCAGCGTCAGACCGAGTTCAATGACTTCAGCATGCCAGGCAAAAGCCGAAGCTGCAAACTTACCTGTCGATCCTGGGGGTAAATTTAAAAACCCATTAGTTGATGGCAAAATTCATCTGTGAATGACCACGCAACCGCAGAAAAAGAATGCATCGAGGTGAACAAAGTACAATTTGCAGCAGATGCCTGTCGTACTTACGTGGTCCCACCATTACTCCAAATGGTGAATTTGGAATCTGTTGGCCGGCAAAGAAGACATTGACCGAGTGAAGGCCTTCCATCCTCGGCGTGTACTCAACCAGGTAGTTGTCCTCACTTTGACGAGTTATGTTCGGCTTGATCACATCCTGGCGTCCTTGTGGGTCCAATATTACGCAATCAGCAACTCCTTCACCGGCCCCTGGAATTGCATCACCAATTGTGTTAACTTCGATAACTCCACACTTAAAAAAGGTAGCTCCAATTTTTAATTTACTTCCAACGTTTGCTGTGGAAGAGTGCATGATGTGTTTCTTTTAACTGGTAGTTAGTTCGAGGAATAAATCCGTCGTATTCTAGAATCATTAAAATATATATGATACAGCAGAAGTCGTTACACTAATCAGAGCCTCAAAAACAACCAAATTGGCAAAAAAAGGTGTATTCTGTGTGTTTCGTGAGCACAGGTGTGCTAATGATTGTGCTTCACGACACGGACCTTACCTTCATTAATTACGCCAGCTGAAATCAAATAAAACACGCAATATTCCAGTTTAAGCAAGTAAATTATTGGTTAGGTTGAATTAGGACTGATTCCAACCGCGTTAAACAAATTCTAATTAGTTAAAAGGTAAATTTGTTAAACTGGCAGAGACTGCAATTCAGCCGGCATTCCGAGTCCTGAAGCCATGGACGCCCGTCCACAAATTTGTCCGCATCTTCGAGCCACCCTGCAATCAACTTCAATTTAGACGTGTTGGAACTTAATAAAATTTGCCGAGAGAATGAACATCTATCAACAGACAATTTTGTGACATCAGCAGGTATCGTTCATGAAAAAGGCTTAGCAGATGGCCACAGAAATCGACGCTTCACAATTGCGGTCGAAATGCTGTTGCTGCTGAGGGACATTCGTGGACACTAACGACGGGAATTTGGGGTTTGTTTATGATGGAACCTAAAAGATCTCTTCCAACACGTAAAGCAAATTAGTGAAATGGTCTACGGAGGGTGCTCGACCACTAAACAACTTAGTAATTTCAAATGAAACGCATGAAATGTGCTCCAAGAATACCTGCAGTAAAGATGTTGAAGAAGGTCCTTCGACCGACCTGATTTCCTTGAGGTTCGATGCCAGGACCGGAGGCGGTTACCTTGCTTGGGTCAGCCGCTCCCTCCACCATCACCTTGAACGGTGAATTCATGATCTCCTTCGTGGCGAACTTAATGATCACACGATACTCGCCAGCTTGTGTTGGCACGTAGGCACAGGAGTACGTATTGGGCCGATCCGTGTTCGGCACGATGTCGCACTAAATTGAAAATTCGAGTTGTCAATCAAACCTTTAAAAACGATTATGAAAGGATGGTCCTCAAGAGACTCTTTCAGAAAAATGCACTGCGGTTTGACTCACCGGTTCTCGCTGTCCCTTGGGGTTGAGGACAATCACCTCGACGGAACCCTTGCCAGCGCTGGAAGCATCAATGGTGAAACGAGCCGGCATGCCAACTTTGTTACCCTTCGGTTCCAAACCTGAAAAAAAAAACACAGAGTGAAGCCGAGTCTGTGACCTTCACCAAAGCAAGCACGCCTTCGCTTTAAGGTCCTTAGGATTTACGCTTACTATCAGCAGCAAAATGATCCTCCGGCACGTCACAATCGACGTCCGCGTGGGTCTCCGTGAACAGCCTGAACTGTGTTCGTGGACAGGGTGACCTCGGGCCAAGGAGGAGAAGAAGACAGGCAAAACGCTGTCTTGAAAAGCACGCACACACCGCCAGACCTCGAAAAGACCACGTCGCAGGCCTAGTCGCCGCGTCACCGTGCCTATCTTGCCAGAGTTTGTTGGCAGTCTCGGCCAAATCTGCGTGATCGAGGCTTACTTCGATGAGGTACTGGAATCCACCTTCCATTCAGGCTGCTTGTGAGCGCGTGTGGGCATACCGTGCTTCACCAGCAACACCAACCTCCTAACTACACGGTGATTGGGTCTGATTGCGTCGCTTTTAACTGGGTGTAACCGTCAGGAAGGTAAGTACAACTCACGCACGTTTCCGGTTGCGGGCTAACAACAACCACTACCAGCGCACGCTCCTCAATCTGCGAGTGAGGTTGGGGAGTTGGCACGTGCTTTGCGTCACACGCACACACCCCCGTGTTTCTTCGGTCGCTAATCACCAACGCAGTTCGCCTAATCGGAAGTGCAGGTCGATTTCGGGATGTTAGTTGCTCTATCTTTTTCGATCATGTCTAGGATCAACTCTACTGCGGTACAGTTACGGTTGTTACCATGGCAACGTCGGCAAACCGCAGAGAATGAAGTTGAGTTTAGATTTTGCTAAAAGTTGAACTACATGTGCTATGGGCTGGGACGTCGAAGTTAATTTAAAACGCTCCTCTTGCCACTGAAACGGCACGTGGAAGTTAGGTGTTTGAAGAATGCAAGCAGAACATAGTCGGGTTCAATGCACGGACACCCACGATGTTCTGACAATGAGTAGAGCTCTTAAGGGTGATCACATTAAGGAGATGGCAACTAACCAGGGCCATAGGCTCGAACACTGGCAGGATTAGCACGAGGTCGGAGGGGCGCCCCGTCTTTGAGCTTGGCGCTGGGGAACTGGCTGAGATACGTCATCATGGCCTTCTCGTCGACCCGCGGATTGATCATCTCCTCAGGGTGGATGAGCTGAGGCACTTCCAGCCACTGTTCTGCGGCTCGCATGGCCTCGGTGGCGTTGCGCAGCTTCTGCTTTGGTTCCCATTCGCGCCAGTCGGGGCACAGGCCGGGAGCGCAGGCGTCCACGAGGGCGCCGATCGCGGTGCCGTCGTTCCAGTCCGTGGTGAAGTTCTTCACTGGACGTTCCATCAGCTTGGAGTTGAGCCAGGACAGGAGACGCTGCTTCGGCGTAGGCCCTGTGCTGCCCTATTTTCAGAAAGTCATTGGCATCAACAAGGGTAACAATTCCGGCCTTCTGAAGCCGTCATGTTGCATTTTATCGGATGTTAACACGGCAACAAACGAAGACAGGGAGGCACGGTTTAGCATTGTGAAAAGAATACTCGTTTTTGCGTCACCTTTGAAGGTGCTTACCAATCAATTAGCTTGTAAATCCAAATGGGAAACCTCAATTTGGACGGCGATTTTAAAGTCAAAAGGAATGAATTTAGAAAAACCTGCTCATTTGAGAAAAAACTGCTCTCGTCACCAACCTGATTATAATCTTCGCCTTCCCACAAGGGCAGCGTGATGGAGTAGTGCAGAATGAGGGTCCAAATGAGACCGAGAATCAATTTTGTGCGGCAGTCCACAATGTCGGTGCTGTCTGGAAATTTGAGAACAAAAAGAACCCCCTTAATGACTAACCAAATCGATCTACACTGTGATTGGTCAGTAGACTGACCTATGATCGTGAAAAGTACTCAAAGGAGACTATGTTGTAACTCACCAATGTTAACCAATCGAAGGCCTTCCTGCTCTTCAAGGAAACGCAACACCATGGTCACGTTCTCGAGTTTCTGCGTGCGAAAGCTCGGCTTCCTATTGACATGGCGAAATTTCTGCCCCGAAAGCGACTCGATAAGGTCGATTAGTCGAAGACCATCGGCGAAGTCGAATTGGATGTCGTCAACGGAGGTGCCCTTGGTCTTGAGGTGCTCATTGGCCCATCGCGTGAAGGTGTTCTTCTGGATCAACTTCCACTCGGCGTCGTCAGCGAGCTCGCGTTCAGCGATCGGCACCTCCTCCTCGTCCTCGTCCACGTACCCATCACCTGGGTCGTCGTAGCCCTCGAAATATGCGCCAGCGGAGTTGGCGTCGGCGTACATTTCGTCTTATTACGTGGGGGTTGTTGGCTAACACGAAAAATACTAATTTCAACCACAGATCTGCCTCTCGTTAAATCTGACCAATCCCGAGTCAGAATTCGATTATTCTGGCAATCTCATTGGCACAAATCAAATTTTGCTCCAACATTGCAACAAATCCGTTTTGACGTTACCTTGACTTGGCCATTTGAAACATTCCCAAATGGAAATTTCAGTGACGTTATAACTGCCAGCAATACCTTACCATTGAGAATTGGAATTACTGCAAACCCAAATTAGGGTGGTACCACCTAAGTGACTGAGCTCGAGTCCGGTAAACGCCAATTGGTCGAAATTGCAGTGTTGAAAACCCACCTGATGCAATATCACCCATTTTAAGCGCCTCATTGCTATTATTTGATTTGGTACACCTACGTAGTTTTTTTAAACGAATAGAGGGCTTGAAGTTACTTTTACTCTAAGGAAAAAGGCTGCAGCCAATCAAAATGCGACGTCTTTTTCCGAAAAAAATGATATTGACAGTCAGCCAGTCACATCTGGATTTGATAATGCAAAATATTTAACTAACCTTACTTTAAAAAAAACTTTAGTCTAATCAGACGCCAAGCCCTCTAATCAATAACGACGGGTTTCTACGTTTTTCCCCGTTGCACTTTTTTAGTGGCCGAAAATGCCATTGCTGATTGGCCAATTTTAACGTCGATTTAAACTTTTTAGTTTAATGTCCCTAGTGGGTATTTAAATTTGAAATGAGGTGAAGAATATTCAAGCGTTTTCTCAATATTCCGCGTGATCAGCAAGAAATATGACATTGAGCCACAGAACACAATGCTAAACTGGCACTTCTGTGGGTAGGTAACTTTCGGCTAATTTGGCCCCTTTCGCTTGGCGTTTATTGGCTCTTAGAAACTCCTTGAGCCCTGATTATCTGGTTGTGACTTTAAAAAAATGAAATATTTGCCTTAACTTTGGCAACGTGTGAACTAGAGACTTACCATGCTTATATATATTGTGCAAAATTATCTTGAACATCTTTTGTTGGAAAGATTTCAGGGCAGTATTTTATCAATCCAGTTTCTAAGACGTTCATTTCACACACCTTGTTAACTTCTTTGAGTGTCATTAAACACACGGAGGTAGGATAAAACGGTGCTTTGGAGTCACGAAATTTGCTCAAAGTCACACATTATTTCTCAATTTTTTTAGCCTTTTATCAATTATTAGGCTATTGATTTAAAATCTACTTGTCGTCTTCCTTCCTGATAGAACCGACTTACTATCACTTGGATTATCGATTTATCGCATGAACCACGTGGTGTTTTGTTTTAATTTGAAAAAAACCGCTTTTATTTGAAAATCACGTTTGTTGCAGATAAAGGCAATTAAAAAATGTTTTTTTTCTCCATTCGCATTTAATTTTTTCTTAAATAAAGGTGCTTGTGAATTCCACTTACGATTGAAATAGTCCTAGTTTTGCCTCACCAGCCCAGTGCAGCAGATGAATGAGACCAAATAAGTCGGAAAAATGAAATGAAACCTCGGTTGCCGGAGAATTTTTTTAAAAGGAAACAATGAGGAGAGTGTGAGCGAGAGAAGCCGATACGTGTGTGACGATTTCGGACGGATTTGTGCTAGCTCCCTTCCCCCTGGGGGTGTACCTGTCAGGCTATCTTTTCGCGTGCGCATCATCGATCGATCGGGGTGCGTGCGTGCGAACCCTGCACGGGCAGGCAAGCAAGCAGGCGGCACTCGAAGCAAGGTGATTGCGCGTGTCTAGGTGGTGGTGGCGGTGGTGGCTGATCTCGGGACGATTGGCCAATGTGCCTCAGCCTGTGGCCCCTGTGTTGGTGTGAATGGCGGCTAGACACACCGCACGCGTGCCTCCCAATGAATCAATGCCTGTTTGTGCATTGCACGTGCGTGCGTGCGTACGTGCGTGCATGTTTGTGCTGCCGTAATAGCAACACATAAACACGCTTCCAGTCCCAGTTCAAGTGACCTTGACGACAGCGTTTGGGATTGGGGCATTATTTACAATTGGCTCAATTACGCTAATTTAACCATCTCGAGGCAGATTCAGAAGCCGCACTGGTTGAATTTTGGTTCTTGTTACTAATATTGGTGAATTAAAAGGCACCACAGTTCCATCGCTCGCCTTCACTAAAACACACAAAACGATCCAATCACCACCAGCCTCTTGGGTCAAATCAAGGTCACTCATGGTCGCCATTTTCAGTTTGCGCCATAATTTGCTATTAGCAGGATTAAAATGCAACTTTGGCATGTTTAGCGAATTCGCCAACCTGTGAAAGTAGACACCTGTCGTGTTCAGCTCAAACTACAATTCTTGCAAAAACTAATTTTTTATGGAGTCTCACAAAAGCACAGCGAATACTTGCACGTTAATGGACGATAAGCTGCTAAAATTGAACTTCTGCTATAGCCAGAAATGGCCTCATAAACATGTTTGACTGCAGTAGCTAGAGTTTCAGCACTACCTTACAACCCTCTAGTTAACAGCCCGTAACGCCAGCCAAGTGTGTGTGAGTGAACGGATGACAGGCATTTGACAACAGTAACGAATGGAAAGGCGATGAGTCATTGTCACCGTCAGGTCAGTAAATAGGGTTCACCCAGGTGCGATCGCTGTTAATCCGCTACATGACCTTGAAATTTTTTTCTTGATGGTGATTTAATTGCCTAACGGATGCAGTGGCCCTGTCTTGGGTTGTTTAAATAAACAGATTTTGAATCTTGGGCATCCAGAGAATCGGTTGGACATCCAAGGAGGCCTTAGTGGTTAGGCTAAATTAATTGTAATTTTGCGTTAGCTCGTGCACGTACACACCATCGCACCACCGCCAAGCAGTGACTCACATCATGTGAAATCGATTTTTATCGATTTTTTTCTAATTCACCTGTGCAACAAACTGCGAACTCGAAATGCGCATGTTGCCTCTGAGCTGGGTGATTTCTGGGTCGATTTCTTTGCATTAATTATTCAAAGTATTAAAAAAAATATTTAAAACACCCAAATTTTTATCTCAATGAACAAATCTGACACGATTCTTGATATATCCAGCAATATCTTCCAGATGCTAAAACGGCAAAAAAGCAGCAAATTTTGGCGGAAATTTTGTGTAGGCGTTGCAACAACTTTGACCAGTTTTACGTGTCGACAACACACGCATGCACACACAAACTGCCTACGTATCGGGGGCTAAATGTACCCTCTATTTACTGCGATTTCTGCGTGTGTGACCTTGGTTATCGATTACACCCGTTGACTGGCTATAATTAACTCACACGACCAGATTTCACCGGTATAAGTTTGCGTCTGTCGTGTTGTGTTTACACATTAGGTGGGTGGGGTTTGTGCAGGAGAATGATGCACTTTGCTTCTAGCCAATCACAGTGTCGCTGGGCTGCGACTTGCGTTTCCGATTGTCCGTCATTTTGACGTTTTAAAGTAAATACCTCAGCTATTTTTTACACGATGTTGGACTTCGATATTTCCTTGGAATCAGCCTTGATGAATTATACTCATACGGACCCTTGCGTACCGTCCACAATTTTGAAAAGGCAACCAATCAAATCACAGTACCCTGTTGTATTTCTGCGTCAAAGTAAATGGGATTTCGCCAAATGACTCCACGGTACACTTCTTAAAAAGTTTATTCGATTTGTGAAATTTTTGAAGCGTGGTTCGCGTCCAGTAAGTGGAAAATTTTGCGACCAATCAAATCACTGGAGTTTGGTGCATTTCGGCACCAATGTAAACTTTTCAACGACGAGGTTAGTGACCTTACGGAAGTGGAAGCGAATCCCATGGTGACCATGATCCCTTTTAGGTCAAGCACGGTCGTTTGTGATAAGTTAAGGCGAACGTTGTGGATTCCAACAAGAACTGCAAGTGAAGCAGACAGCACCTAATATCCAATGGAATTCAACCCTACAGCTCAGCCAATTGCGGTGGGCTTTGATGCTGCGGCTTCCTAACCACATTTGTACAAGCTATTTGTCTGGCAATGTGATTTGTCTACATAACTTCGTGCCAAATATTCTAAAAAACTATTCCATTATTGGGCTTAAATGTTAACAGAACTTGTCTTCCGCAGCATGCCGGACGGATGATATTATCTGTAAGTTCGCTGGCATGTGCGGAATCGAAGACAGGTAACAACGAATCGCTGTGATATGTGATCCTATTATTGTGCTGACAGCAATATGATTAGTAGTTGTGGAAAGATAATGTCTATAACGTGAATAGCTGGCAAAAGAAAAAATGCCATATATCGATTGGTTTTGGTTAATGCCCACATTACACAACAGCACGCAATCCTCATTGGCTCATGCAAAACTCTGCGCACATTTTTAACAGTCCAGTCGGGCCAATCGATTACGGACAAACCTTATTGGTCAAATCAAACTCGTCTCAACATTATTATTTGCTATGATGCTCGGTGTCTGATTGGCCAGTGTGAGAAGTACAATAAATGTAATTTTTATTTTGATCATTACGCAGACAATTGCTTGATAAAAAGTTTGTGAACACGAAAAATATTTTATTGCAAAAAAATGCAAAATGAAGAAATTGCTTAAATCAGTCGCTTGTTGTAGATGTTTAGTTTACATTGGCTCAAAATAAACAACAAAATTTTCATTGGCTCATGCAAAACTAAATAGGCGCTTTCTGGGCCAATCAACTCTGTGTAAAACTGATTGGTCTAAGCAACTCAACTCAGGATAGTCATTCGCCGATTCAGAGGTCTGATTGGCTTCCTTAGAAGTATTTGAAAATTTTACTCCAAAATTTAATGATGAAATTTCCCTACTTGATGAGGACTCCACCTAACTTTTTTGAACGACGATGAAGCATGAGCTGTTCGTTATTATTTTAATTTACAAAACCCACCTCACTAACTTCATTTTTACGAGCGAGGTTGTTTTGTGACAGTTGTGCGAAATTGACACATTTTCAAATGGACCAATGGCATCGTGCATTTCCTATGCGGATTGGTTGAAGGACCATTTTGTAAGACGGCACTGAGGTAAAACGCCTTCCTTCATAAGACCACTTGCGGTTAAACAAGCGGATATTAAAGAATCAAAGGCACAATCAATTTGGACTGCTATTTTTAGCGCACAGTTAGGGCCTCGAAGCAGCAACCAACGCTGACGACACCCACGACTAATTCCAATTGGTTGCCAAGATCGTGGTGGTTACCAAAAGTAGAAATCACGTGTTTTCTGCTTCACAAGTCGTATAGATAAGCATGTACACTTGTATTTGGAAACCAGAATTGGTTTGACCATACTTATACACAATTTCACTTACTCATATTGACCGCCGACAATACTATTGGCTAATCTCCGTTTGAATGCTCTACCAAATTTTGTGGTCTCAAGGTCACTCAAAGCAGTTGTAATTAAGTGCTTCAAACACGTGGATTTTTCTTGTCCCACGACATCTTGTCTTATTGTCTCTAGATATTCTTTTGGGTTGTTAACCGTGCTTTGTCAATTAATTTAAGTAAAACGCATTGCAATAAAGTAATATGATGAAAACAAATTACTTTTAACAAATATTTTGTGATTCACTCGGTTTTTTGGCTCTAGAAACCAAATAATGCCGACAAAGTACCAGAAACATGCCTGTTGCGATAAAACGAATTTTTTGAATCTGTCGGCAAGAATTTGTGATGTGTTACAACTCATTTACTTTATTTAAAAAAATTGTGAAACTGAAACCGATTTCCCTGTACTTCTGCCGCGAGAAATCTGAAAAACACCCAACCAGCGTCACAGCCACACCTGTTTTTTAAACCTGTCTGAGGAAAATCAATAAATATCGGCATTAGACACACTTTTGTTTAAAAGCTTCATTACGCAAATTCAAACCTCGAGATCCTGTCACGTGATAAGTGGTTAAATGTAGTTGCATTATCCCTCCGATCGAATGCTGTCCACCGCACTCTTATATGACGCAAAAACAGTTAACGTGACCAGGCCTCACGAAGTACACAACAAATTGTCCCCAAGAATGTCTACTAATTTCTTTTAAGTAGCAATTCAAAAAAAATGCCAACCCGTCCCTCACACCATAGCAAGGAAGCGGTTGCGTACAAGCGTTGATCGATTTCTGATTTTAAATTACGCAAAATTACTGTACAAGCAAAAGTAGACATGCATTGTCTGAGTAGTCAAAAGGTTGTCTGAATCTGTGCAAGAAAAGACCAAGAATCACACACACACACGAATCCACCTCCGTCATTCCGGTGTGTATTCAACGACGCGTCGACGACATTTTCGAAGGAATTTCATCTCCTTGTGGTAAATACTCACTAAACCGGTGAAACCCACGTAGAAAATGCCACCCTAGAAACGACAAAGAAAAAGATAGAAACATATGCACTGCTTAAGTTTGCGAGCATTGGTGGAAGCTAACTGGTTCCCCGATTCCCCCACAACACCACATATTTTGTGCAGAAAGAAGGCAGCGTTAACAAGGCGGGATTCCAGCAGCATAACCAATCACCTTGCCTGATTTAAAGACTCTGGTTCCATTGAAATTCCATTGGATGCTGCGTTCTTTCACGCCAATTTAAACAAATGCTCGCGCCTGATTTTCAAAAAACACATCAGTAGGGCGAAGAAGCAGGTTACCTGCAAGTGTTCAGAGGTTGGTAACATGCACACATTGCTAGCAGTACGTCCATTGAAGTAAAAAGCGATTAATCTTGAAACTGTCGGACAAATCCCAGCAGCACCAAACAATGTCGCGAAGGGAACTCCCGCAGGAAACTTTCATTTAAAACGCGACGAAAAACGAAACATCTTTGACGGAGAACTCGGTTTTAGGCTAATTAAGAAGCCTCAATTTGTTGTGAATTGGCGATTGGGGACTGTAGCGTCGCTAGAAAGGCAATCGTTAGTAAAGGCATTGACACACGCCCAATGATTGCCTCATTCCCGATATACCCATAAAATTACCTACACCGGATGAGTGTGTACAAGGAGAAAAGATAGGCAAACGTGAGAAACACACGCGCTTGTCAAAAGCAGCAGCTTACAGCGACAGTCTGTCCGATCCGAGATTGGATGCGACTGAACAAGAGACGGCCGAAGAAGACAGAGAAGGTGGGGAGGGAGAGAGCGCCGCACAGGATCCGTGGTATCGATTCGAGGCTGGTTGGTTCTCGTGTCTCCTCTAGCCGGGATGGGGGAATATCTGAGGAGGAGGGAGGTGGAGAAGGATCAGTGCTGGCATGGGAAGCACCACCGCTTCGACTGCAAATGCCCACCCCCACCCCCGCGAGACGTACCTTTGGGAAGAAGTGACTGGAAGAAGGGTGATCGGTAGGCGTGACTGCGCCAGAAGTGTAGCACGCGATCCTGCCAGCGCACCAGACGCAGGGCAATGAGGGACGTGGGGATCGCTGGGAGGCCGAGGAGGAGAATGACGGGGTCGGTGCGCTCCATCGCCGCCAGACCGACGTCGTGGCCGCAGACCTGCATCACCGTCAACGCGCCGTACGTCACCGCTGACCAGTAGAGACAGCCGAACAGGGCACCACCGAAGACGTACGTGGTGGAGACATCCATCACGTGGTCGAAGACATTCAGCATCACCATCAGTGGATCTGGAAGGGATACAAATAAAGCTACACAGACGTCAACGGCACGGTGCTCAGCATCACGAAAGATAGCAACCGCTACTGAGTAGGGCACAACAATGCCTTTTGATACACACTAACCACACACACACACACATCAATTTTGCCCAAGACACACCTAGAAGGAATGGAAAGAAACACACGATGGTAAACCCAGTGATAATTAACAAACTTACCGACAGGGGGGTATTCAATGACATAATAATATCCACAAACACGGCACGCAACAGCCAAGTCGGGGTCGTTGGCCTGTTTTTCGTCGATCCAGCGCTGTAGGCAGGATTGGTGCACCCACATACTGGAGCCGCAACACCGACAGGGACGAATCCACTTCCGCGGTATCTTGTCTTCTAGGTCTGAGCAGTAGCAAATCCAGCACAACTTCTCACCATTGTCATCGTTCCCGTTGGAGAAACGTCCAGGCTGTGCAAGAAATGAGCCTGACGACTGGAAAGAATGTGAAACGCGGAGACGTTATCATATAAAAACGGCAAAATGGGCCTAGGAATCAGATCAATTACGATTAAGTAAAGGACGATGGCTACATGGATGAGAAGTAACAAGAACAGTATTGGTCTTTCGAAGCAGTAAATAGTATCGAATATTAAAAAATATGATGTGGAAAGTCAATATAGAAAGGGTTCTATGTTAGTTGATTACCTGGTAAGAGAACATGTGTAAAAAATTACCCAGTTGCTGCTTTAATCATTTTTGAGCAAAGGCGTAACTTCGTTGGTTAAATACGTCACCCTGAGGCACGTGGCATGTAAGTAAACCGCACTTTGGTGTTAATCACTTAAAAATACTGTACTTAACAATAATTTAAGTACAGCGGTTTTATCTTCACAATTTGAGATCACATATGCGAACCAGATAAATATGTAATAACCTTAGACAGCTAGTCGTTGAAAGCTGCTTTACTCCAAATGCCGACAGTATTAAGAAAACAACACTCCCAAAGCACACCACCACATATAGTCGACAACCAAATTTACCATTAGGAAGTGGGGCAGAGCCAATCAGCATCGAAAAAGACATACGAGCACTGAGGCCAGAGCTTAAATTTATTGATTATAACAAAAACTGTTTGGCACACATCTTACTTCCAGTACCTTAAAATCAAGTGAGGACTTCTGCAGCTATTTTCTACCTGCACAAATATGTTCATAAGACTGTTGATTATTATCGACAAATTGTTTAATGGGTTAATTACCCAATCATTTTATCTAATATTGTTCAGATAAAATCAACTTGCACTCTAGGTCATCATCGAAGTTACAATGTCAGTCATTATAAGTCCTTTAGAAATTTCTAGTGCACATCTTTTAATTACTTTTCACTTATAAATGTGAACGTTGAGATGATGTCATTTAGTGAACTTCAAACTCATTGAGGCAAAGATTTCTTGCTTCTTCGTAGAATTATATCAGCCTAGACCGTACAAAAATATGTTTTAAAAAAAATAAGCTAATACTACATAGCTGCTATTTTATTAACATCATCATTAAATTTCTCCTTATTAAAACTTATCCCTGTGGGAACAAAAGTTTGCTTTGAATACAATAACTTCAGCGAAACAAAATGCAATCAATACGTAGCGGTCTATTCCCAAATAAATAATCCCCTCAATTTAGATTTTGCCTATCTACTCCCCTCATTTAGGTGCAATTGTTCCATTTTCTTAGCCCGCGTAGGCTCGATTAAAGTTGAAGCAGTATTGAGTATAAGTAGACCTCGATGCATCAACCAATGAAAGTGATAATGGTGGCTAATTGACAATACCACAGTCTTTATTAAATGCAGAATTGTGTGTTTTAAACTTTACAAATCACATATTTGTAAAAATCATTAAAAACTGGGCAATAACAGCGGCGTTTTTCTTTTTTTTACATACAAACTCACCACATATAATGCTATTTTCCTAACTTCAACGTCTGTTTGTTAATATATGGTTACATGCAGTCTAGGTATTTTAATTAATAAATAATTTTCCAATTTTAATTCTGACGACCGATGCTTTAGCAACTGGATGCCTTTAAAAAATTCGTTCTGAAGCATTTTGTCCCGCAAAAAGGAATTTAAAAATGCAAATTGAACGGGCATTATTCAAGGGAAATGCATTTATTAGCTTTGGTAGTCCTAAAACCTTGGGAACAATTTTGAATTTGCATAGATGAGAAAAAATGGTTCGGTAACCGACCATTAATCACTGCAATCCCCAATCGTGAATACTTTTGGTAGTGTTGGTACTTGCTCCACTTCACAATAATCTTTTGCTCCGATATAGTAGTAGCTGTGATTTATAACAACGTAAAATAATTTTTTTCTACTCTCTCAACACATTTTAATGGCACTTCTGAACAAATCAACCTCGCGCGTAGTTTCAGTAGAACATAATGGATAACTAAATCTTAAGACATTTCTAAATGAGCTTCTGGCGAATCTGTGATGTCAACAAGGGCTTAGGAAATTCTGGCCTGCCACAGAGGTCCGTTAGAAAACAATTAATTGATTTGATTTATTAATATAATTTGTTGGCCCATACATGGCACATAAAAGCCATCAACTAAAATAATGCGAATATAATAAGTTTAGAAGAGAACATGATGGTAATAGCGTTCTCAGAGCACCGTTCATTGCTGAGTAAATTCTGGCATCAAACATGTTAAACAGAGATGAAACAGCAATTATTTGACAGAAGCATTGTAAATATCAAAGAAAATTGTTTAGTAAATGCATGCTGCTCCATATTTAACGGAAGGTATGAGCTAAACTTTATATTTAGAAACACACGCTTTCCTACATTTGAACACTCGTAAACACTGGACTCTTTGCTGTGCCTAGACAAGCAGTAAATAATTGCGTAAACATGTTCAAGGAATTGAAAATTTTCACTTACACTGATGCCACATTATGTAGGGGATTCCTCTATGATCCTAATATATAAAACGTATTTGAAGAGAAATATATTTCAGAAACTAAGATACTTAAAACATAATATACGAAGCGCTTTGCCTCAAAACCTATTTTGCTGAGCAGGAGAATGAAGATAGCTTATTATCTAGAATCACAAAATGTGTATACAGTCCAATTTTTTCACCAATCGGATTAAATTTTCAAAAGATAATACAATAAGAATTTACTATTATTCATTTAAAAATGATTTGATCAATCATTATAAAATTTCTTTTGTAATTATTGACTGCATGATTAAAATATTTTTAGTGTAGTAAATTGGTTATGAATTTTATCAAATTAATTTATCTATTCAGATTTATCAAAATTTTTTTTGCAAAAGTTTTATATAGCGTTTTGGTGATTTTTTGTTAATCCTTTTTTTGGCTTTCTAGTTTTAATGCAATAATGATCCATAATTTAATGAACTTTGACCTGTTTGTTTGTTTGTTCGTGGAAGATGCCTCGTGTCGTTTTTAATTCTGTTGTTCTGTTTTAGCTGACGGTAGGGCAGTGTGTTACTGGGGGATCCCAATGTGAACGCATGACGTTGATTCAAAAAATGGTTTCCAGACAACTTTTGAAGCCGGTCATTACCGATGTAATCTATAAGGGGATGCACTTTGTTATTATGGACTCTCCCACCGCTGATACTGCCCAAAATTTTGCAAAGGTAAATTGAGTGTTCTTCAATGAACAATTCCTCAGGAATGTTCGCGGTTGCGTGTTTCTGACATCATACGTGTTTGTGAAGACAAATACCCAGTGGAACCATTCGAGAACTTAGGCATTTCTGTCCATGTAAGCTCGAAATTTTCTTGTTTTTAACTTGAATCCTTTTAACTATGTTGGTTCTATCATTTGCTTATCACATCTCACTCGTCTAATCTTCAGCACTGGGAATTTGACGATGGATCCCTTCCTCCCGACGATATTCTGGAAAAATGGTTTGAGTTGTTGCGGTTGAGGTTTTACGGACCCAAACGGACACCCGCTGGTGACGGCAATGGCGATGATAATTCGCTTCCTGGTCCCGTGGCTGTGCATTGCTTGGCTGGTTACGGAAGGTAATCTGCTTATGTTTCAAACCGTGTTGATGTTCTCTTTACCTTAACTGTGCTTTTTCCTCATCTGACTGAATAGTCGTAGAGTTTTAATCAATGACATATGAAGTTAAACCTTATCGCACTTTGTTAAAAAATATTTTGTAGTGTGTTTTCATTCGAGTCCTACTTTCCGCAGAAAGAATCTCATTAATTTTGCACCTTTCGTGTTATCGGCTGAATACCCGTACCTGCAAAATATGAGCTACCTTTTTCACTACTTTTGAGTGCTGTTAAACAATGGTTTTCACTCTAATTTACCACACTTCCATGAGTGTAAGTGCCTACTAATACATCGCATTTATTTTTTTAAGCTTTCGCATAAGCGTGCTAATACTATGCAAGTGTTTATTCATTAATATCACCCAATTGCAGTTTCAGACTTCCTCGTGTTTCCTTTGTGGCGTTCAACTTAACCTGTATTAAATCCCACAGTTTATGCCAAATCTCTCGATGTGGTGTGTCCTTCATATGTGGCCATAATCTCCTAGATAAACTAATCTGAGATTCAACTCGAGATTAGTGCAGCTTCTCAGTGTCCCCAGAGTGGAATCATTCCAATTTATTGATGTTCTCAAACTGTTGTAAGGAGTAGATTAACAATCGTCCAAATGACAACGATGTTTTAGCAGTGGTGGTGCACGTTACAATGGCGTTTCTAAATTTGTGGATCCACTGTTCTATTATAATTAATGCCTTCTCTGATTGTCCAATCCTACTGAAACGGGGAATAAGCAGCTCAGATTGTCGTCCCTCCATGATGCCTTTACGATTGCCTTGTCCTATTTCCCTCCTTTTATGTCCACCTGTCGAAACGTTCCTGTCGTGTAAACTCCATAACCTCTATCTTTACTTTCCTGAAGCGTTCGGCGCTTCTGAAACACCCTTCTTCTCTCCCGGAAAGAGGCTAGCCTTCACCTCCACCTGCCCCGAACACTTCCAGATCGTTTAAATGTATCCAGTTGTGCCCATATCCATATCGGTAGGCCCACAGACAGCCACATTCATCATTGCAATCTGCTTTCCCAGCGTTACCTTTAAGTGCTCAACCGTCACGCACTGTTGGTTTTTTTTGTTGCGTCGCACAGTTCAGCCTCGTCGCTTATTCCCGGCAATCATAGTTGATTTGCTTCTCCGTCAACTTCAACTCTGTCTGTTTCAGAGCCCCCGTTCTCGTGGCTGTTGCCCTTCTGGAATTGGGAATGACCAATCAGAATGCCATCGAATTGATACGATCGTAAGTCGTCAGCTCTACAGCCTAACCTTTCCGCTTGTTTCACAAGGCGTAACCCACCCCACTTCCTCGCTTCATGAAGCACGGTCACGGTGCGTCTTGCTGTTAAGGTCACGTGTTTACTAGTGTGGTCACATAGCAACCAAGTTGCCCGTCCCCTGACTCCCGTCGACAGAGTGCCATGCCGTGGCCTTGGCGTTTCGTCAAAAAATTGTGCCCTCGATGAACTAGGCAACCGTTATGCCTTTTAGAAAACGCAAAGGCGCTTTCAACGACCGACAGGTAGACTATCTGCGCAACTATCGCGCGCACGGTCGCCTCCGCAGGGATCAGCACCACTGCCGTCTTCTGTAGGCGTCTTGCCGCCCCCTCCCACACTCCCAGCACACCTCCGTCCCCTCACCCCACTGACACTTGGGCTTCCCCCTCACCCCCGCCCCGTTCCCCTCTCTCCCCCTCCTCCTCTACCATTTTTATCAGACATATCCACCACTGGCTTTGCCTCTGACCTCGTGCGAACAGACAATAAGCTGTTGTACAATCGATTTTGCGGTGGCACTGGCGGTTACGGCCACCGCGGCGATGATGATGATGATAATGTATTAATTTCATTTTCTCGTTCTACCGCATATGTTGTTGTCTCCTTCCTTTTCCTTCTCCTTCTCTCACCACTTCATTCAGGCCTGTTTGTTTCTCTTCCCCTATGACTGCACTTAAACCGATAGTACTTTAAACAAGTACAGTAATAAACCCCTAGAAGCTCTCAAGCACACGAGTTTTTCCGTCTTACTTTCGCGGGGGGTGTTGGAAAAGTGGGGAAAGGACTCGAATCCCCGAAGACACGACGCTCACAGCTGACACGGTTCGGATTTCAGGTCGTGGTAAAGCGCGTTGACCCTCTGATATAGATTAGAGTATCAGGTTAGGAACTGAGGTTGGCCAATTAGTGCCGGTGTGGGTTTTTGACAAACCAGGCCATTGTCTCATTGCCGGCTTGGTTCCTAGCGCGGTATTTAACACATGGACTGGCAAATTATGCTCGAATCAACCGTAAAACGATGCACGTCTTTTAGTCATTCGCCATCTGACTTGTTGTCGTGACAGTCGTTTAAAATTACACAAACCTCCCTTCCATCGCCACGACGGGTAGTCTGGTGTCACATCAAGCGCAAACTACAGTCACCGTCGGTGCCGTTCGCTGACGAATTAGGGTCAGGTTTGTTTATTTAAACAAACAGTGGCGGCAGGATGAACTGTCCGCATCATCTACCGGCTGAAAACTCGCCGCTTCACTATTTGGTAGTTGGGTACTGGTGGTATCGATCGTCGTCATTACCTGAGACCCTCAAATAACGGGGTTTCTTTCACCAACATTCGCACCTAGACAAGTTCGTGAGTCCCTGGTTGGGTTGAGTGCGACGCGTTGGCAAACACTGCGAGATCAAAGACGCATTCGACAGTCAACCGCGACGCAAGCACTCAACCACCTCCACTTGAGCAGACCAGAGGTCAATTTGAAGACAAAAAAACCAACTTCGTCGATAGCAGGCACTTGACTCAAGAACCGAGCAAACATGCGGTGTTTATTTCATACGATAACGAACATTTTTTGCGTCTGAATTAAAAGGCTAATCAAATATATTTTTTCGTGAAATCCCTAGTAGCAATAAACTAAAGATCGGACATGGAAATTTTCGCACATCTGACACTCACATTGTCGTTTTGCCTGTGACAGAAGTCCTTCGAAATTGTAGTGTATGTGTGTGTAATGGAGACCTTTATTTTGCTATAATGCTGTTGACGATGCTTGATAAACATGGAATCTGCTTACGGCATCGACCAACAGTCTAACCAATCAATGATTGCCTGGTTTGGGGCAGAGGGCCCTGAAGCACGTTTACCAAGTCACCTTTCCCCGTAGGTTCACATGAGGTTCTCCCCACAGAAGAACGTCAGTCACGTTTTCCAAACTAGCGCCACTTTTCGCCAGCCAATCAAATAAGCCCTAGCGGATCCGTGAGTTAAAAGCAGATGCGTATTTTCACTTTACCCTCGTGTCTAAACTTGGCAGGAAATGGTTTAAATCTCGCCACCTAGCATCAAGGCACTCGTCCACATTCCACACGTTCATCGCAGCGTTCCTATTGGCCAGAAATGACGTCATAATTGCGTGTCCGGTGGGCTGTGGGATCGCCAAGGCCCGAGGTCACGTAAAACCTGCCAAATCAAGCGGAACATCCAATAGCGCGTGAGGCGTGGTAAAGGGGAACATCGGTGTTCTACCATAACGTGTATATTAGGTGTATAACTTAATTTGTACAAACTCCTGTTGCGTTTGCGTTGAGTCTTCAACCAGCAGAGCTTGCAATTCCGCATCTTCCAACTTTTTAGGCTGCTGTCCGGGGCGCGGCTGGACGCCAAGACAGAAATCACCACTTCTAAATCTCTTTGACCAATAAGTACACGTTTCATAAGACTCATCTTCGGCACCAAGAACCCTCCAAGTTGATTCCCCTGTGCTTTAGAAGCATCGTTTTTTCCTTGCAGTGCCACCGAACGTGCTGTTTGTCTGTTGCCATCGTCGTAACCTCTGCTGTCCTGAGACGTTCTGTAACTCACACCTAGACTTGGCGTTCGGTGTTCTAAGAAACCCTGCATCGGATCTTTTCAAAACCACAAAGAACCACGAAAAAAATTCTTTTTTTCTAAATATAAAATTTTAAATCTTGAGGGGGAAAGTCTTCCAATTGCATCTGAATTAGCTTCGGTGGCTTTTTCTCGTCAAAATATCAGATTTTCTCGATTTGCAGAGTGGATACTAAAGCATTCGGATAGACGATGTCGCCATGGTGTTGATACATATTGGCCTTGTCTTGTTTGAATGTGCTGTTGAACCTGTTTCTTCTTCGAGAACAGTGCTAGGTATCAACACTGGTGTATCTCCACTTCAAACAACGGCAAATTTCGGCTTCCAACATCCTGATGATAACCACCACATCGGAACAAGCTTCCTGGGCGTGATAATTGAACTAGTCAGCTACAAGGTCTGGCAATTCGCCAGAAATCCTTGACGCCTCTTTTAGTGGCGTTCTGTTGCACCAGAGATCCAACTTGCGATGGAGGAGGCATTCATTCAGGCTGGTAACTCCTCCTCGTCCTCCTGCGACGGGTCTTCGTGGAACTACGGCAAGGTCATCTCGTGACGCGAAGTCAGCAGACAACTCTCGTAGCAAACAACCTGCGATGCTAGCAGTTTTGTACCCAGTCGTATTACTTCACCTTAAACTGACCTAGATTTCAGCCACAATCACCTCAAATTAAACCGGTAGAATCGAAAGCACTGTTCGCATTGACCAGTGCTGTTAGCATCGTTTGGAGTGAGCAAATTTTGAAGGAACAACGCCTGTTTTTATCAGATTATTTGAAGAGGTGGTCGTTCGACTGTTATCAACTGATAACCAATCAGCGCTGGGCTAGTAGAAGATGATTGGATAGCAATCTGCTCATATCGTCGTCACAGCAAATCCCTAGTTGAAAATTGAGCACTGGTCGCGGCGGGGTCACCAGTTTGCTAAATCCTCGTGGCTAGTGCTAACTTTGGGGTAATTGGTCAGTTGACGGTTCAAGGTCACGCTCGTTGTTCGGGAAATTTAAAATCCCTGTAAGTCCTCTGGAATTTCCTACCGTTATGGAAACGAACAAATCGCCAGTAACCTATTTCAAAATTAACTGATAAGCCTGCTATTGATTTGATCATACACATAGAAACCCAATTAGTGTAGTTAGTTTTCTCAAAACACTAAAATTGTGTTAAACTATACTATTTGCTGCACCTGAATCCGCAGATCGCATTTACTGCAAAAGTGCGCAAATGGGAAAGAATTCGATACACAGTCGAAAGGCGTTGCCAGAGGCTTTCGCTGTATCCCGTGCCGCATCATTGTGCCCAGTTCTGAGTTAATTGAATTACTGCTTCGAGACAGGGGCTGATGGCGGGATATTTTCAAGACGCCCGCCGTGGCATTTAAAACGCCATGGATCCAGCATGCTTGTCCCTGTTACCGTAGGTCGAAAATAGACTTTTAGACACGAGTTTTTTTCAACCAATCAAGTTATTGCATTTCGGTTGGGGTTAATTCAAGTCCAATTTAGTGATTGTTAAGGATTCAGTAACCTTAAAATTTGATCTAAAAGTGCATTAGAATTAGCATTGTACTGTAGTAATGCGACTGACCGTTGGAGGCAGTTATCGATTGCATCAATTTAAACAATGCATTTAGCTGGACTATTTTGTAGTCCAATCTCACAAAGTCACTTTTGATTGGTCGTGTTCACGCGCCTCGTTCAAAAAGGAGTATTCTGTATTCAATCAAGCCTCGACGTATGCTGCTTTTACTGAAGTGAGCAGTGGTAAAATAAAATCAACTCAATGAACATGACTTTATCGTTTCCCTAAAATGTTCAGTCCAATTATCGATTAAATTGTAGTGGAATTTTTGCGTAGCCGTTCCATCAACATCGGCGATATTCCCTCAGTAAAGAATTTACATCTGGATGGGTTTGAGAATCACGATAATCAGCTGGTGGAATAGGGTTGCCGAAAACTAAATACACCAAGTGAGTTTGCGTGAAAAGAAATTTTCAGCAAGTTTAAAAGCGATTTTTTGCATGATGCCGAGTTCTCGGTCGAACGCGTTGTCCGGAGACGCCTTCAATCAATTTAACCATTCTCACATCGAATACACGATCTTCAGTTGTCTGTCTTCGGCCAAATAAGTGCCTTTTGAATGAGAAATTAGACATGGTCTCTCTCCTGTCTATCACCGATGCTCTCTGAAACTCCAGAAAAGTTATCATGTAAATAGTTAAAGATAAAGGGTTAAACACAGTAAACGCACGCTAGTCTACGAATAGCAGTATCAGTGCACCAGAACGAAAATTTCAAATCCCCCGCAGTCACACAAACTGTATTTATGAATGGCTTATACAAAGTGTGGGTGTCAGGTTGACCGTAAACTATCTAACTATTGACATTTAGAAATTCATTGGTAATCCCAAATTCAGCGTTTTCATTGGTTATTAGCGTGGTCGTGGAGACTGCCGATTTCAATGAAATTCAAACGGGCTAACGTAGCTAGCAGAAGACAAAGACGAGGCGAGTTTAAAAATACAACCTGACATCGCCCATTCCAGATTTGGTAAAGTAGCTATCAACTCATGCAAGACGACAAGGAACAGTGCACACAGGCTCAACAGATGCTCAATTTTCCCTCCTTGTAACATGAAGGTGAGTTTGTCATTGGTTCATGAAGCCAATGAAGGTCAGTCGATCGCGGTTACACTTCGGGACCAAAATTTACGAATGACGTAGTCGAAAGACGATCTCCTAACTCTTTTCTAAACTGGACCTTCGATCCCTGGTCCCTTAAATGCTGATCGGCACTCCTAGTTGGCCGAGGGAGTACAGAATTCACCGTTTTGTTTTCAATTGCTCCGTTGTCTTAAAGTTAGATTAAACAGAGCGCCACTTCCAGTTTGCCCATCGGGTGAGCAGTGCCCGTCAATTAAATATGGCCTTAGCGCTTAGATCTCGATAAAAATAAATTTGTTATGACTTTGTTATAACGTTTATTGCGTGGGCGTCAGGTTTGTTATGCATTATGAGTGTTTACGGCCACTTTGGCTAACTTGTGAAGATGCTACCTGT